TACTGGACAGGGACGAAATGTTCAGAGGTAAAGTGATTGTCTTCTCAGTGACCCACTCAGGAGCCGGAGATGGGCCCTCTGGGGGGGGGGGGGGGTGGCAGTGTCACAGACCCCTTTCTCCAGATGCTCCATGAACCTCAGGACCACCCAAGCACTGAGCTACACGATTCCGCTTTCTCTCATGTTTACTGGGGCCTCTCCTGGTCAGTTAGCCAGTGGAAGCAGGAAGTGGATGGGAGCGGCCTGGAACCGTGGCGGGGGGGTATTCCGGGGGTATTCCCTGGCCAGACCGCTGCTTCCGGGATGTTTGGATAAGAACCATGGATATTGACACAACTCTCCACTTCCCTCATTTTAAGCCGTCTGTCATACACATGATAAACAATTACATTACACGCATATACACAATTATACACATACATACATACATACGTACGCATACCTTTTTTTTTTTTTTTTTTTACAGAGGTAAAAATGCTTATCGTATTAAAAAAAGAATTAATACAAGATTTATTTCATTATTCTATATATACAAGGAGACAGATTAATTCAGGCATGCTTGAGGCACTTTTCAATAGTTCAATGTGTGCAGGAGCGAGACCAGGCACTACACAGACTGAACGCTTTTGGTTAACTCATCACCGCAGGAACAAAAATGAGATTTGCTCGACCGAACGACAAACAAAAGGCCGGTATTTGTTTAGCGGACAACGGGGTCGAGGAAGTGCAGAGCTTCGGAGGGTGAGAAGCGGACTGCATGTGACCCATGACCTCTGACCCTTGACCCTCCATTGCCATGAGAAGGTCACCTGCTAGCCCGCCTGCCCATCGGGTGTCACTCACCTCACACCAGGACGGCTGCGTTTTGAAAAACGCATCCTGGTGCGTTTACGGGATTTGGGACGGTCTGCAGGACCTCGCAACGGGCACTGGACACTGTTGGCCACGTGTCACAGTAGTGCTTTTGAAGTGCTTTTCGTTTGTTCGATACATACGATTTGTGGGGTTCTGATAATCTGTGGCTAATTCGCATTTACTCGGGCTGTACGCACGCGTCTGCACTACGTGTGTGCACACGTTCAGGAGTTGACAGACCTTGAGCAGAATACTAGCAGCGTTGAGGTCCGCCCTGGCTGACTGCTGATTGGCTAACTGTCTTTCACTGCTGAACCCGAGCCAATTAACACACCTTCTGGACAGTGACATTTTCGACTGATTCTGATCAGCATCTAGAAGCATAGGCTGGTAACCACAACTGGGGACAGCTTTAACTCGACCCATCGCCAGAGTGGATGCCCTCCCCCCCGACACCTGGGAGATGGGGGCTGATTCATTGATTGTATGACGCCATTATCCATAAACGCACCACATTAAGTCTGGAAACATTCGAGGCAAAACGGATCATTCCTACTGACACCTCCTGAAAGATTCTAGAAACCCCCAGTGATTTGAAGCACTGAACACAGACATTTACATTTGATATTGTCCCTTTGGGATACATCAATTAAAACTCAGAGGACATGTGATCTCAATAGAGGGAACATTTATGGAGGGTCAGACCATGATTCGCCAATTTGGCAGCCTTTGATGGAGCACCTTCTCACACAACCCCGTGATAGACTGAAGCTCCCTGAGCGAGAAGCCCGCCTGCCGCTGTGCAGCCACCAGGGGGAGCACTTCCCTCAGTCCCTTCGCAATGTGTTTCAGCTTTAAGTGAGAAGCGGGGGGTGGGGACACACACACACACAAAAAAAACAGAATTACACCTTTGGATATTAGACATTACAACTTAATAGAAGTTTACCATTATTACAGCAAAGGCTGTTTGTAAATAAGAGATCACAACGGAACAGCTTAGATGATGGATATCCGGAGCTCACATAGTCATTTTGGCTTAGATACAGTGACAACGGTACCATGCAGCCAGACTATGCTGGAACCTTGCTTCCTTTACTCAATCGGTCCTGACAAGCACACACTGACAGAGATCACACCCCTCCCACCCTACACACACAGGTTTGTAATTATATCTTTGTGGGGACTCTCCATTCATTTCTATGGGGGAAACGCTAATCCCAACATGACTACCTTAACCCCTACCCAGCCCTAACCTTAACCATAAGTGACCAAACAAGATACGAGACTTTTGGCATTTTTCGTTTTTTGATTGCATTCACAGGTCGTTGTGGGGACCTGAAAAATGGTCCCCACAACATCAAAATAAAGGTTTTTATTACGTTGTGGGGGACATCTGGTCCCCACAATGTTATATAAACATCATACACACACACACACACACACACACACAGTCCACATGACCATAAACTAAGTGTCTCAGGTGAATCAGTTTTACTTCCTCTTGTGTAATAGCCCGGTGTGGGGGGGGGGGGGGGGATTTTAATGTTTGGGATGGTGGATTGGGCGTGATGGTCCATTTAAGTGCCTCTGTGTACAGGAAGGAACCAGCTGCATCGTTGATTGGCAAGCATTGGCAAATTAACAGAGCAGGAGGGACGGATGGACAGACGGACACACACACACACACGCACACGCACACGCACACGCACACGCACACGCACACGCACACGCACACGCACACACAAAGAGGAAAATAAATTCAAGTTCTTAAAACAAAATCAGTGTAAAAAATATATAAAGTACCAGTTATACATAAATGAATAGTCAGTCTCAGTCTCTATAATGTGGGGGGGGGGCCCTCGCCAGGCCAAAATTTCCAAATGGAGAACAGAGAACGAATCGCCTTCCAGCCACTGAGCTCCCGGCTGCCCGGCGCCCCCCCCCGCTCAGCCTGCCGCCCCCCCCCGCTCAGCCTGCCGCCTTGTGCTTGCCCCCGCAGCAGTGACACGCCATGCCGCAGCGGTGGCACACGCGGAGCGGCATATAGCAGCACATGCAGGGCGCTACCAGCGACAGAGCCAGCAGGGCCAGCCAGCGCAGGCAGAAGCGCTCGTCGCCCACGTCGCACGAGCACGGGTCCGAGTAGTCGCCCTCGGGGTCTGACAGACAGTGGTACAGCAGGCTGTCGGCGCACCACATGAAGCTGACCCGGTGTATGCAGGTCCGGATGGGGTCCGGGGCGTCCTGGCAGTGCCCGCGCCCGTTCTCCTCATGGTTAAACATGTCCCGGCAGTAAACGCACCGCGACCGCTCCCCCTCCATCTTCTGCCCTTTCCGTTTGACCTGTAGGGGGCGGGGCTGTGTGCTGACCACCCCCAACCCCCTCGCCATGACCCTGCCCTTATGGTCGTGGAGGCAGAAGTCTCGGTCGGGGACATAAGGGTAGTTGTAGTCATGCTTGGACAGCTCGCTTTTGGCAAAGTGCACGTAGGAGTCGGCGTCGTTGGCCCGGAAGAACCTGCCGCGCTCGCCGGCGTGCCGGTAGTCCTCGTAGCCCGTCAGCCATGCCCGCTCCCGCGGATTGATGCGCACGATCTCCTCGTCCTCGTCCTGGAAGGTGACATGACGGCTGAATTTAGGCATCGGCTAGAAAGAGAGGAAGAGCACAAGGGTGTGGGCGGAATGTTCCAGAAAGGAGGCGCCCTGGGAGTTTCTGGAAGGGAAGCTGTTTACTAATAAGTAACAAAAAGCATAATTAATGCTAGAAACATAAAAGGCCACGAGTTTCAGAATAAGGCGGGGGGGCACAGGGGTCTCCGATAGCCGAGGTGGACACCCCCCGCTCAGCCCCCCGCTCACTTAACTGGACTCGCACGACACTGGACGACGACTCTTAATTAACAGAATCAAACACAAAAATATCTTGAAAGTAGAAAGTGGCTCCTGGAAGCACATTCGTGCCAAGATGAAAGCAGAATCGGTGCCAAATAATTAGGGCAGATCGTGGTCTTTGGCCGCGGGACGACACAATGCACCTCAGGGACAGGATGTGCTGATTGTTTGCATTATCTGTCAGCGTTTGGTGCCTCAGTAAATAGCCCTGGAATATACTGAACTTTGAATGCAATTTGTGTTTTTGAATACAATGGAAGCAGTAAACACTGCTGACCTTTCACCCAATCACCTGCCCTGCCCCCCCCGATCATCTGATTGGCTGACTAAAGATACATGATAAACACGCCCAGCGCCGGATGATTTTAAGGCGCTGCCTGCGTACTGCCGGTCCAGCTATCCTCGCCGATGCCGGGGGAGGGTGTGACGCTGTGCCAGAACTTTCCCTCGAGTCCATGCTGACTGGTGCTCTAAACCCACCCCAGGAAGATTTGGGGGGTGATTTCAGTGTAACTCATCAGTGCTGCTATACAGATATGCAAAAGACCTCAAAAAAGACAGACCAAAGCACACATGTGCGCCTGTAATGGAAAGACTTCCATTAAAATATGCTAATTTTCATAAAATCTCTCCATCTCACCACAATCTAATCCACCCAAAGCCATCTTTCAGTCATTATCCTGGGCTAAACACGACCCGGCAAGATTCCTAATTTAGCTAAACCTCCGTCACGCATCATTCGTATTCGTAATAATCCGCAATAAACGCTAACCAAATGGCCCCCACCCCACACCGCCGTGGTATTTCTGCGCGGCCGACAGCGTGGGGGGAGTGAACCTGCTTGCATCACTCTCTAAACCCCTAGCTCTGACGCGCAAAGCCGGTTGCACGCATGTTCGCTGACGCCACGATTGGCTTTCTGGTGGAGGATTTTGGACATCCTCTTTTTCGCTTTCTGGTGTACTTAGAGCGCCATTAAATCAAACGTCAGCACAGGGAAACGTAAACAGTAAAAGCGATTTATATATATATATATATATATATATATATATATATATATATCCTTCCCTTTAAGTGGCTTTGCGAAAGATGGATCAGTGCTACGTAAAGCAATTACATAATTGCCAGCTCGCTCACTATACTGAAGGAAATGTGAGGCACTGGTCACCTCAAAAGCACTGAAACACTGATAGAAAAGGAGGAGCAACTGCTTACAAATACACATAACTGCTGAGGTAATACAATCAGAAAAAATTTAACTTATTTTGGAAAACACTGAAACTCATAGACCAACAAAACTACAGCTTCACTGTGCTGACGCTGTTTGATTTACTCAAAATCAAATTATGTGTCATTTTTATGCACCAGTAGTTTTCATTGAGAAGCATTTTTTTTTTATTGTCTTAAGGCTGGATTTGTACTCGAACATGTGCCCATCAAATGAAAGAGTCATATTCCTAAATAGGCTTATTTTCATAGTCAAGGATTACTGCACATGAGCCTGTTTGTAACTACACAGGTTAGGCCTTGTGATCAGAAGGTTGCTGGTTCAAATCCCAAGGTTGGCTGAGTGATTTTACTGTTGGGCCTCTGACCAAGGCCCATAACCATCTATTACTCCAAGAAATGTGTGTCGCTTTGCATAAAAAATCTCTGCTACATGCAAATGCGCGTGCAGGTTTGGTCGCGTCTGAGCGCGTGCAGGTTTGGTCGCGTCTGAGCGGGGGGGTGGCCTGCCGGCACCCACCTGTTCCGGGAAGCCGCGCTCCGGCCCCCTGTGTTGGTGATGGTGGTGGATGCAGGGCTGCAGTCGGGGCTCGCAGAAGGCCGGTGAGCTCAGGGCCTGTGTGAAGTGGTCCTTCTTCTGGGAGGAGTTGGAGGAGCTGTCAGTGGCATTCTGGGGTGGGGGGGGGGGGGGCATAAAGAACACTGAGGAGAAGGGAGAAAACGAGGGCCGGTTCTGAAGAGAACGCATGCAGGGAGTGGAGAGGTGAAAATGGTGTTGGGGAGGGGGGGTGCGAAGGCCAGTCGATCTCAGGATCACCAAGCACACGCTGCATGGGTAGGGGGCAGCTTAAACCCCCCCATGAGAAGGCAGGGCCACTACGCCCCCCCCCCCACCCCAGTAGGGATGTGACAAAGCCGACATTCCTCCCTTAACATAGCGGCCACGCAGGCATGATTTATTAAGAGCCGCCCCCACCCCCCCTCGACAGACAGGAAGCAGGATGGTACCCCCCCCCCTCCCACCTCCTGTGCGTAATTAAAAACGCTCCGATTTCTAAGGCTGTTCTGAAGTCCCCCTGTTATTATGAGGGAGTTGGGGGGGGTTGGGGCTGGTTATATTAAGCCAGCATGACTTAAAACTGGCGGGGGAACAGAGAAGCCGGAAAAGCAGTAGGTGACATCAGCAGCCAGGCAGCCGTGGTGCATGTAATGCGGCGAGCTAGCAGCGCGTTGGCGCGACTGGTTTAAGTTTTCTGTTTACTTTGAAATCTCCATCGAGATCCCCACCCTGCTGGCAACATGTCACGTGACCATAAAGGGGCGGGGCCAGGAGTGCAAACGCAGGCAACTGCGCAACCATGCCACCACAATGGCGAAAAAACGCATTTGCTGCTCATCTCGTGATCGGCAATCTCAGGAACGCGGCATCGGAGCGTACGTCGGAGGCGCAGCCAGATCACGATTAAAGATGAAGGCCTATCTAAGGCACGTGGGTACCAAGCTGAGGATTAGCCATTTTCAGAAACGCTTCTTCACTTGCATGAGGAAGTTCACGTCACCCCTCTGGGTGACCTGAGGAATTGGGAATGGCCTGGGTCATGCTGGGGACCAGTCATCGAGCCACCTGAACACAGGGAACATCTCATCCCCCTGCGCATCTCATTCGTTCCTGTCTGTTGCCATGGTGATCCATTCCATCAATGGAAGGCGAGGGCAGCGGCCTCTAGTGGAGACCCGATGTAACGACAGTGGCATAAGGGTTCAAATTTGGTGCTGATTTCTCATACACCACAACGCGCACGTTGAAGGACGCTCTGCGTTCCCGGTGTCGAGGGCCCGGAGAGGGATGGGAGGAGAAGCCCCCCTTCGTCAGTGTTCGGCCAGCCCTACAGGTACGGGACACTCTGAAGGGTGCAGAGAGAGAGAGCCCCAGCCGTGGGACAGCCCTACAGCAGCGCATTCATCGAGGCACCTGCTTCATTCAGAGCTCTTCTTCAGATGGATCTGTCTGTAGTTAACGGTCAAAGCAGCCGTTGTCCTACAGGGATCAGATGTTTAATCTCCTTGCCGGCTGCTGGGAGCAGAGGCCAGCGTCAGGAACGCCGTTAACTTGAGACCCAATTTGTTGACAAAGCCGCCATGAGCAAGAGGATGCAGCTGGCTGATCTACAGGCATGCGCGCACACGCCCCCCAGGCATGCGCGCACACGCCCCCCAGGCATGCGCGCACACGCCCCCCAGGCATGCGCGCACACGCACCCCACGCATGCGCGCACACGCCCCCAGGCATGCGCATACACGCCCCCAGGCATGCGCGTGCACGAACACACATACGGTGGACCCAGGGGAAGCCAGTGGCCTCCATTCCCCTCCACCCAAAGCCAAAGGGACTCTAGGATTACAGTTAGGGGGTTGGCCGGGGCCCATCTGGCCTGACTCCTAAGACCCCGGCCCCCAGCTCTTAAAGTGAAACTGAAATCCCAATCCAGATCCCTGCACCCCCAACTCCATCCTCATCCAGATACCTCCACTCCCAAGTCCATCCTAATCCAGACTACAGCATCCCCTATTCCACCCCAATCCTGATACCTCCATCCCCAGCTCCATCCTAATCCAGATTCTGGCATCCCTAACTCCATCCCAAGCCAGACAGCATTACCGAGCCTCCCAGGCCAACGGGACAAAGGTCCCCTACAGGTTAGGTGAGACACAGCCCACAGCAGCGATCCGCTTTTCCCCAGTCCCCATGGAGGACAGACCAGCTGTGCGCTCCAAGGCTGCAATCCCCCAAACTCCTCATCAATCTCCCAACCCAAAGCACCACATGGCACCTGGTGTCTCCTCTCAGAAAGAGGTGCCTGATGGGTGCACACTGAGTGAGGAGGCAGGAGGTATTCTTTGGTGAGGATGGAGACAGTGGTGATGACGACGGGGATGAGGACGGGAATGAGGACGGGAATGAGGACGGGAATGAGGACGGGAATGAGGACGGGAATGAGGACGGGAATGAGGGTGGTGACAGTGGTAATGAGGACGGGAATGAGGACGGGAATGAGGGTGGTGACAGTGGTGATGACGACGGGGATGAGGACGGGAATGAGGACGGGAATGAGGACGGGAATGAGGGTGGTGACAGTGGTGATGATGATGATGGTGATGAGGATGGGAATGATAATGGTGATCATGACAACTGTGATGGTGCTGCTGATGAGGCCGATGGTAACTGTGAAGGTGACAATAGTGACGATGACGACGATTGTGATAACGATGATGGTGATGTGGCAGGAAACCCTTGGTGCCTCAGCAGAGGTGCAGAATGAGCCTGACTATGCCCCCCCCCTCCCCCCCGCAGCTGAAGGAGTGGCACCAGCACGGAGCCCCCCCTGCAGGGTTACGTCGGCAGAGCGCAGACAGTGGACCATGTCCTCCTGGGAGAGATTCCCCGGACGTCACATGACCGAATATGATCATAATCACGATTATTTTGGTCAGTACTGGCATGATTCAACATAATAACTCAATGAGTTTGGAAATATCATGCATTTGTTGAGCTTAACAAAAAAATGACTTTCCTTGAATGTCCTTGAACTCTAAATATAATTCAACTGCGAAACAAATAAGTGGCTGGAAAAGGGGCACGTTGGCAAAACGGGAGCATCAGCACCAACCAGAGTGCTTCAGTTTGCTGATCGTTGGAAGCCAAAATCATAACTGAAATTAAAATCTGATTAATTGTCCAGCCCCACCTCCACCCATCCATCACTCAGCCTTGGGGGGAGGTAGGCGACACCCTTTCACCCTAAAATCCTTCCTGGATCTGGGCTGCGTGCGTATGGCTCATTGTCCTCACGCAGATCAGCTCAGTGAGCAGCCATGCCAGTGTGCCCAGTGTGCCCAGTGTGTGTCACGTGGGGCGTCTGTCAGCACCAGCAGGACCGGCACTCAGCTCTGAACCGGACACAGGAGATCTGCAGTGAAGGATCTGCGGCGTCCTGCCTTGAGATAAGTGCGGCATGGGGGGGGGATGCGGGGGTAGCGTGGGATGGACTTGCTGAGCTGCCAAGTCTCTCGGCTGTTTAAAGGGGAGGGGGAGCTGAGATCCACCCCCCCCCCCCAGTAAATCACCATGGCAGTCAGCTAGGAAGCGACTAATGACAGCTTTACTGGCGAGATCAGGAAGTGACCCCGCGACCTCACCTCCCGCCAGCGCGCCGAGAGCCAAGCTCCTCACGGCCCCCGGTCACAACACCCCCACGGCCCCCACAGCCGGTCATCTCCACAAAACAAAAGGCAGACGTTTCCACAACACCGACAGCCAAACAAACAACTGCCAGCTGTCAGCTAGCTCTGGG